TCCATGTTCTTGTGGGTTCTTATTTGTCTTAAGTAATAGCCATGGAAGAACACTTGGCCCCTATCCCTTCCTCCCCTTTTAAAGGGCAAAATCCAAGCAGTTCATTTGTTTTGTTTACTTTATACTCCACATTCCTCTCCAGTGGGAACCCTAAGTGGTGTACAACATTCCCATTTTATCAGCTCAACAATCATTTGAGTTAGGTTAGGCTTTCTAGAGTTTTCTGGTTAGGTACTTCCTGGATCTGTGATAATGTGGCTTGTAGTTTTTAAGATCATTCTTACAGATGCTGGATCAAATGATCTTGCAGTGTCATATGGTAGCTGGTTCGTGATGTGGGTTGTCATTTTGAAGTTATTGTTTTTCCCTACCAAATCACTCTTTTTATATTAGTGAATAGTATTTGCCTCAATGCTGCTGTTACTATTGCTTCAGAAGGTTTTGTTGTTGTTGTTCAGTTGCACAGTCGAGTCTGACACTTCATGACTCCATGAACCACACCACTCCAGGCTTGCCTGTCTTCCGCCGACCGTCCATTAGAAGGTGCATATATATTTAGGTTTTAGTAATGAAGCACTTGTGAGAAGTGGTATTATCTCTGTTGAAACTGAGAATATGTTATTGTTTGAACTGAGTAGAGTGAAATGGCCAAACTGCATTTTACATACTTTTGCTCTGATTTCCCCATGCAGGATGAAATTAGGCTCCTGTTCTGCCAGCAAAAGGAGAGAATACAAACTCATGTCTCTGATATTATTTGAACTAAGGAAAGTACTGGTGTGAATGTATCAGTTGGGCTCTACTTTAATATTTCCAAGAGCATATTCATTTGAAACATGAAGGATATGAAAATTATTGAAAGGTTTCCCAGTATCCTGCTTTGGGGTAGGTTAGAGCATCTGGTTCTGTATTCAGGTGTGGGGCAAGCTGATTACTGTTATGTCCTGGCCAGAGCTTAGCCTTTGGTGGGTGAGTAGAGGGAGCAGCTTCTGGTATAGTAACTCTGTGTACATGTGGAACAGCAGACTACTATTTTTCATATTGCAGCTTGTTTTGTGTTATTCTCTATTCTGGAGAATATCTGTATTGATAAAATGTTATAACCACCGAGAGTTAAATGTTTATTGACTAAGCAGAGTGGTGAGTGCATCATTACACTGGATTAACGTACCGCGTGCATATTTAATATTGTAAGTTCTAGTGTAAAATTTATTTACATAATTGATTAGTGTACTAACAACATTTTATGTTGGCATGCTACCTGATGTTATATGTTAGTGTTTGTTTGTATTTAAAAAGTAGGTTGAAATTTAGCATTAGCTGTATGTGAGAATGGATTTGGGCATATATGACGATTAATATAGATGTGTT